TCCAAAACGAAACAGAAACAATTGACTAAAGAGGAAGTCAATGTTTGAAAGGGAGATGGAATGAACATATAGTCAGGTTAGGTTCCAAGAAACAAGTCCAGGTTCACAAATGTGACACGATTTGAATTTCCTGCGTTCATGCTAGATTTTGAAGCATTTTTTGCTGTACAGAAAGCAACAAGCACTCTCATCGCCTCATTGTAGTTGGGCAAGGTATTCAGTTGCATGTACATGCCGTTGATTGCGGAGACTGAACTCGTCATCGTAATTAGACCTCTTTTTATAAAGAAATTATAGGGTAATGGTGAAGAACAAGGAAAGCTAAACTGGAACGAATGACCACAACGCAGAAAAAGTACTCAAATGGAAGACTTAATAAAAAATTTGTTTAAGAAGAAACTGGATTTAGTTTTGCTCGATGATAGAATAAAAATTAAACTATTTTTGTTAGAAAATTTTTAATTAACGGAATCCCTCAACAGTATTGCATGTGCTTGGCATCCAGGAGCAGGGAGTTCATCTTCTTGTTTATTTCCTCAAATAAAGGGGCACCGTTAAATAATGGGAATTTCCAAGGCTTAAATATTCTTTATCTTCAAAAAAACTGCACTTGATGTTCCTCTCTGCATTTAAAGGAGACAAGCTAGCACACCTAATCTAAAAAGGTATCCCTATAAAACTCACGAAAATCACTGTCTTGCGGTAGTGGCAGGCCACAAAATAATCTTGACTCTCCAATATCTCTGAGTTGGGTTAGTTAAAATCTTGACTATCGATCCTACTGTTTGCCAACTTTTAGTTCGGACAAAACTGGATATTCAGCAAACCCTCTCCATTTCACCTCCGTTTGGGTTGGGTGGCACCACTTTTGTCTCTCACTTGCAAGCTTACGTAGTAACTTTGTCTAATGTCACGCAAAACCCAATTCGGATCGATATTCCTGTTCCATAATTCAGAAAGGAATTTCGGTCTATGCCCAACTTAAAACATTGTAAACCTTAAGACTGCCTGGTGCTTTTATACATCCTTCCGCCCTATATTCATAGAAGTTCTAGTCAACTTATGATAAACTTAGTCACATATGAAGGCCCTTTTTGTTTCGATCAGCAGATATGAAGGCCCTTGATTTTCCTTCAAAAATAAAAACAAGGAGCAATGATAAAGTACATATTCAAGTAAGGGTATACATGGTTATTCTATGCTTACTCTATATACCACTGTATACTCTATCAATTGATTGATACTATCTATGGGACAACAATACAAAATTGCAATTTGATACTGGTTTTCAGGTAACTATCATTGATAGTGACTGCACTTTGGTGCAATGTAACTAATGTATGTGTAGAATATGATATCTAAACTATAGTTTTAAGGACCAACAGAATAACATGATGCGAAAAATAAAGTAAAAAAATATATTAAATGTCATAAAGACAATTAACTATCCGATACTCCTCTTGTTATAAGAGTCGCTCCGCTTGGCTTATGGGAAAGGTACGTTCCCTTGAAACTTGAATTCATGTGGCTAGAATTTCTTTGAAGTACTTTTTTATTATTTTCTTTTTAAAGAATAGGTGTTAGGTTCTTGGAATGCAATTAAGCAATGAAGGCTTCGATGAGAATAACAAGAATCAAGAAACCGACATCTTGGTTTTTAGCTATATGTTTAATTAACAACGATCTTGAAGTCAGAAGTCTTAACAACTGATCATTGTCTATGTTCCTTCAACTAATTATACATTTAAAACATTAATGTGTTTTTAATTATCAGATGAAATTTTGATGATATATTAACTCTATAGCAAAATCGGTGCAATGTGACAGGACATGGCCATTACCTCAGAAGAAAGCTGAGAGTTGAGTCTGTAAATGTATTTTTAGTACTGGCAAGGTTACAGGGAGAAACGATCAATACCTTGCTATACAAAGATTTTCATGTCTTCTTCTAGCTACACAACGTTTTTCTTTTTTTTAATTAGATATGAAAGGCAGATATTCTCTTGGTACACATAAATTGAGTTAAAAATACAACACAATATGTATTAGCTGAAAAGACTTAGAAAATAATTAACTGGCTGGTGATGGTTTTTTAGAATGCATGTAGAGTATCCCCAGTTTTTACTTGGGATATCCTGTTTTATTTTCCATCTATACTTTCAATAATATGATTGAACTATCCTGTGATTTCGAAGTAACAAATGCTTGGTTTTTTAAATTATCACTTGTGCTCATATTTAGAGTTTTTTTTTTGGAGGGAGGAGCGAGAGAAAACATCTCTGTACTCCGGGAGTATTCATTACTTGCTATTCTATCTATTTGAACTGAAACCACAGATAATGATTGACAATTCAAAAATATATAATTACTTCAGCAGTTCTCAAGACTTCGTGCTTCATTTACTTAAATTGAGTCATATATACTGATTAATAATCATATATTAAAGTTGATAGATTTTTATTTTTAGTTTCGGTTATTGTTTCCATTTTCCTATAACACATAAAACATATTGAATTTAATGTGATGGCCAATCATTACATATAGCTCAATTTAAATGGATAGAGTATAGAGTGATTGGTATCTTAAAATATTGGAGATATTTTCAAGTAGTGATTACTCTTTTTTTTTTTTTTTTTTAATGTTGTCTTATTTATCCCATTAGTACTAACTATATAATTCAATGACCATATTAAACCACTTTGTTTTATAGTATTCTTCTATCTCATGATAACTACTTTTAAAAATCAAATCGTTTATGTGGGTGCCCACAGAAATATAGGTAGGTAATAGATTGAATTATTTTATTCTGAACTTCTTAGATTCAAATTTTAGGATAAGCATATATGAGAATTTATTAACTTTTTTCTAAATACACTATGTTGATGTGGGAGGTATGTGTTTAAAATTATTGTGAAAAGAAGGAAATTTTTATTGACGAGTAAGCTAGTTCAATAAAATCCTTACTGTTTAAAAAATAGAGAGAGATTATAAAGATGTATGCGTGTGTATTTGTAATAAAATTACAAACATAAATAAATATGTCTAGCATCGAAATCTGTAAATAAACAAATCCAGAGTATGTCACTGTGTATTGTGTTTTGTGTAATAACAGACTATACTAGCATTGAAACAACAATTTACTTTTAGAGAAAAGAGTCATGTTTTCCGATAGTTACCATGTTAACTAACTTCTACTAATAAAATAAATTTCAAAAATAGTTTTAAGTTGCAAGCACATGTCATTTTTTGATATTATAAATATGCATATAAATTATCAATGAAGAATTCTATTGTGAACTCCACAGGAGAGGATATTCCACGAACCATTTAACTTTATTATAAATTATTACAGTTCTAGAAGTCCATTCTTATAAACATTTGGAAGGAAGCGTTTCTTTTTTAACGTAAAACAATTATATATATATATATATATATATGTCAACTGCAAAGTATTCCACCAAAAGTTAAATTACAAGTTACTCCGATTATATGTGCGTAATGAATTAGTGCGATTATCGGTAAAGGCATTGTTTATTTAAGTTATTTTTAAAGCAATAGTGATTTTTCTTTACATAAAAAAAAAAAAAATCTTAACTCTTTAAAAATTGTTTGGTTGGAAATATTGTTTTTGGTTAAATTAAAATTTAAACGATCTCGATGGAGGATAAAATATTGCTTTAAGATTCATTAAAAGAATCATTTAACCAAAATAAAATAAAAAAAAATTAATTATCAATTTTGACTCTAGCTCAATAAAATAGGAGAATATTTTTTTAAAAAAATTATTATCAAATATATTGTCCAATTTATTTATATCAAATTTAAACCACTTTTTCAATAGATATGGTTGACAACAAACTCTCTTATGATAATTCAAATCAAGCAAATATTAGAAAATAATATAAAATCATTTATTGGTCACTTAATAGTTTAATTTTTTATTAAAATATTTTTTTTTATATGATATAAGAATCTTAATAACCAAATGGTTATGAGTTCAAATGTTATCATTTTTTTTTTAATTACAAATTAAACAATTAGGGTTAATAACTTCATCTCGTCTTTATATAATGGCTCGGATTTTCAATCTATTTTTACATGCTAAAACGATTCTATTATGTTCTTGTTATTTTAATTAACTTTTAATTTATCATTCTGGTCAATTTTTTCGGCCAATGGAGTAACATGAAAAAATGCTCCTGAAAAATAGACTCATGAAGAAACTTAATTTACACGTAAGGAGTATTTTCGTTAAGACATGTCATGTGTAAGTTATATGATCAATTTTTGATAGTTTGGTCAGAAAAATTGACCAAAATAATAAATTAAAAACTAGATAAAATAACAAAAACATAATAAATTTGTTTTAGGATGTAAAGATAGATTAAAAACTTAGGTTATTATTTAAAAATATTCGAGAATGTTAACTCAAATAATTAATCACAAGTAATAGTGAGTTAGTACAAATTTCGAGTGTGTTGGACGGTAATATATAATTTCGTTTTTAAGATATCATCTAAAAATTTAAAATTTTGAATTGTCATGGTTTTTTGATAATTTTTTTTAAATGAAAAACAATTTAAAATTTTGTATTGAGATATTTTTTGTTTATACGTGAAAGGGATAGATTAAAACCCTTGACTTTTTTACAAAGACCTCTTGTGCTTTGCATACAACTTGTACAAATATGGACTTCGTTGCTTGGTCCAAGTCACTATAAATGGAATCGCATCAAACCATATTTGTCAGTTTAGTTTGGTTTACTCTTCCTTCAAAAAAGTTCAGTTTAGTATCATTTCATTTTTCTTATCAGTTGTTTCGGTTTCCTTAGAAAAATAAATTAAAACTGATGAACCACACGTTGTTCAAACTAACTTTTATATTATTTATTTATGAACATCATATTTTATATGTCTGAGCTATTAAGTTTCTACTTAAATTTCCGTTCTTTTACATTTAGAAGTATGAGACAATATTTTCTTTTGATGGAACAACGAGAACTATGAGAAGTTGTACTCAGACCTCACTTGTATTTTAATGGAATCCGTTAACACTAGCAATTCCATAATTGATCTGCAGGTGATAAAAAAGAAAATAAAAATACACTTTGTTTTCTCTAGTCCCTTTATGGTAAAACAGATAACATTTTTCGATGCATGAACCAAATTAAAGGTCAGGTGCTTGGGCATACAAGGCCAATAATAATAATAATAAGCAGTGAAACAAAAGATATACAAGAATATTGTGTGGGACTCCAACAAAGATAGTGGCTCTCCGATGCCTCTTCTTTTCTTAACAAAATCAATATATATTGTTAGTTCATAGTATTTGAGAGAAAAACGAGCTTAATACCTTATCATGAAGACCAAGAGTTAAAGTGATCTCGTTATTTATTTATTTATTGAAAGGAGAGTTTAAATAAATAAATAAAACTCTAAATAAAAATTATAAAATATAAAAACGAGAGAAACGGATCCCGTACGTATCTTCTAAAACAATATCGAAACAACCAAGTGAAATACTTGAGAATAGATGTAGATCAAGAGACAATAAGAAACCATAATTTGTCATCTCACCCGCACAGGGATTTTCCTTTCGATAAACATGAGTAGTTCCAACTTGCTAAGAACGTTGCAATAATAACTGGATCGATTTGACTAGTTGAGCGTTAGCAGGATTAGTACATTGATAGTTCTGAATTAATTAGATTGTAGCTTTAAAATCTAATTCTATCTCTATTTTCCTAAATCTCATATCCCAATCAGTTTTTAAACATGTATAAAAGACTCATAACTCTGCTATGCTAACAAAACAAATTCCTATATTATAGACAAACCCTTCAAGTCATGCACCAATATTATACTTTAAAACTCCATCTGTAAAAGCACATCCTTCATGTAATTTAACAGAGTCATCTGTATTAGACTTAATCCACTCTGATTTTAGAGATAGCCAAGAGATCATTAATTCTAGTTTAGGTGGTTTAGTATCAACACATTTTTAGAGATCTACGGCTGGTTTCTTAACCTCCTCCATGCGAGAAATGATCTCATGTAAGACATTACTCGGCAGGGAGAAGTCAACATAAAAAAATGCTCATATTACACCAATTCCATAAGCTCCAATAGATCATCCCAAAACATATTGTCCATAGAGAGTTAGAAACATGGATAAGAGTGGAGTTCAAGTTTGCTTTGAGCTAATCCAATATAACAAGGTATAGAAATCAGAAATAAAATGAGGGATGGAAATTGATTCCCAAACCTGTTTAGCAAAAGGACAGTCTCGAAGAACATGAATTGTATCTTCTACTGGGTCCCCTCATCTTGAACGAGAGCTATTAGCTGCCATTTGTCGTCTAAAACGCTGGCAGTTCGTAAGGAGTCAATCATGGCCCATTAACCAAAGAAAGGACCGAATTCGTGGGGATCCAAGCCAACTCCAGATAAGCCTCCAGATTTTGTTCTCTGCTATGGTTTCAAAATTAGAAAGAAGGGAGTAGGTTGATTTAGTTGAGAAATTTTCACCAAAAGAAGCACTCCTAAACAACCTGATCATCTCCCAAAGAAGCATGTGGACACAACACACCAGCAATTTGAAGACAAAGAGATAGAGTTAAAAATTATTGGAACTTGGTCCCTGCTCATTGTCTAGTAGGAGTTACATAGGAACTTGTAGGCTCATGTAGAATAGATGTGGGAATAGGCTGAGTTGCAAATGTAATCAGAGGTGCATCATGCAATAACCATCTATCAAGCCAAAACCATGCAGTGTTACCATCTTCCACACACCATGCAAGCCCTTGAAGGATGTTTTGTCAATTATTGCAGATACCTCGCCAAATAACAGAGCTATTAATGCATTTAAGCTCATTGGGAATGCATTCTACATCAAAATATATTTGGACCGCAGGACCCGTACCCAAAGACTACCATGATCCATCAATAATTTTCATCCTAATTTCATTAGCATAACATCATTATTGTCTCTGGCTTTCCTGATACCTAAACCCCCATAAGCCTTCAATGAGCAAATTTTATCCCAACTCAGCAGATGTGTCTTCTGTTCTTCTAGTTGGGATCCTCAAATAAAATTGGCAAATCACTTGAAATCCATACATGAACTTATATGCAAAGATTTATATATTGATATATATAATTTTCAACTTAAAAACTTAAACTGTTAGAATAAATACATTTATATATGATTATTTCAAAAATTTTATTTCTAATCAACATTAAATTCCTCACTTTTCAATGTAGAATTCAACTAATTTCACTTTCAAATCAAAATGGCCATCTATCAACCACGTGAGCTCTATTGCTCCTTATGCTGGGCTAAGTACCGCATTACTATACCAGAATATATACAGTCTAAAATGCACAGGATAATAATAATAATAATAATAATAATAAGTATCCAAGTAAAGGGACTGTATTCATAAAATATCAATGGTACAAGGACGAAATTTGCCATTAATCAAGAAACTTCTAATACCGAGGAGGGTGCTCGGTGCAGCCGGTTCTGCTAGCCGCACGTGTAACTTAGATTTCGATTATAACGTCAGTGCTAAAACCAAACTTCAAGAAAGCGAGAAACGGTTTCTTTAAACAAACAAAAAAACGATCGAAAACAAAGCACAAAAAGAAAAGGAAGATAATTATGAACTTTAAAACTGCAAATTACAAAGAAAGTTTATTTGAAAGTAGAAACAAGAACCTGAAAGGCTGAAACTGTTATCTAGCCCAATGGTGCTTCACACGTGTGCATATCATACAAAACTAATGTTATTAATGTATTTGGGTCAAATAGTTTTTAATATTTTTTTAATCGAATACATAGATTTAAATTTGTTTAAGCATGTTAATTTTTTTAAAATTATTAATCTAGTATTTTTATTAATTTCTTCATTAATTAATGATGTGTTCGTTATCTTAACATGTTAAATTATAATTTTAATTTTTTCTTCTCAATCGAGTACATAAATTTTAATTTTTTTCACTTTGAGTATGCTAAATTCTTTTAAAATTATCAATTAAATACTTTTAAAGTAAAAATAAAAAATAAATTATTTACTACTACTTTTATTATATTAATTGTTAAAAATAAACTAGTGTATACATTTTAGAATGCACTATAAAAGCTTATTGATTTGATAAACTACACTTTTAATATAGTTTATGATTTTTTTCTAAGCTATTTTAATTTTTAAAATTTGGGTGACGTTGGTTTTAATAGTAATGAACAAAAACAAGTTGTTTATTTTTTTTCAATATGCACATGGTACAATCACATGAATTACTTTCATGCATGCACGCGAACTCCATGTAATAGGAACATACAAGCTAGCTGCTTTGCCGATGAAGGTTTGGTGCAACGGATATATTCGAATATTCGGTATTAGAACATGCGTCCTCTCATCATCAAAAAGTAATCCAATTTTCGACATCGCCATAGATGAGATTGTCGATCCACAACCCGAGGTCTCATGACTAGGGGTGAGCAAACGGTTCGATTAATCAAAAACCGAATTAAATCGAATCGAATTATATATTTTGGTTCGGTTTTAAACTTAAATTTATAAAATTAAAAATTGAATCGAAAAATCAAAATTATTTCAATTCGGTTCGGTTTTTGAAAAAAAAATCGATTTTCATTGAAAACCAAAAAGATTAAAAGTAAAAAAAAGATTCATAAATGCTAACTCCCTAAAACCCTAACCGGCTAACTTCACTAAATCAAAATCAATTTTCAGCGACGCCTCCCTAGCTCCCCATCCTTTGCTCCATCTTCTCCGGTTCTCCTTCATCATCACTTCATTAGGCCTTCTACCTCAGCAAGACAAAGAATCGGTAACCGCAACACACCGAACACCCAACTCTCTCTGCTCTCTCGTTCTCCTCCTCTAATTTCACCGCTCACCACCCACCTCTCCATCATCCCGCTCCGATCTCACAAGTCATGGTCATCACTCATCCGTCACCATCCAATCACCCTCCACCCTCCTCCTCCTCCTATAATTCCGTGGAGCACCCCATTATCGAGTAGATTGCTGAAATAAATCGTCGACAGCCTAAGTCGCAGTGGGGATGGGTATTCCTCTCTCTCAAATTCCGAGTATGACACTAATTGATCCACAATTTCAACAAGGCATTTTCCTTTAACCATTAAATATATGTTCTTTGGTATTGTTATTTACACTTCTTATTTAATTAGAGATAGGATGATTTTATGGAATGGAACGTGGTGGAGGTTATGATGCTTGGAGGAAAACTTCATTGGTTGCCACCTTTTTTTATTTTGACCAGGTAGAGTCCATAAAGCCAAAAGGTCATTGTGTTTGTGTAGCCGTGCGTGTGACAAGTGAGCACCTAGATTATGGGTTTAAGCCTATAAGAGGAAAAGTAAAGGTAAGCCTCTTGGGGTCTTGATCAGTCATACTTGAAGCTCATTAATTTTTTATACACCCATATTGAGTTATATGGCCTTGTAATAGGAACTAAGTTTTAAAAGCAAGCCAAATGTGTGGGCTTACTTCTCTATTATGGTAATTTTTATTGTTTGTCTTTTGATTTTCTTAAAATAATTCTATTGGCGTAACCTTGGTTTTTCTAACTTAATGATTTGAATTATCATCTGCAGATCCGGAGGAGGCATTCATGAATTCTAAGATTCTTAATTTGGTCGATTATCAATTGAAAAAATTAAATAAAGTAGATGCAAGTTGATGACTAACCGCAATCAATTATCTTTTACAAGTTGAGTTGTTTCTTTGCAAGACAATCAAATGAAATTAACTTGTTGTTGCAAGATGGTTTTAGGTCTCTCCGAGCTTAAATTTTACAAACCGAAAGAAAGTCGTTTTAATTTCTTTTCTACTGCGCAAAATTGCTAATGGAAATTTTCTCGGACTACATTTTTTAGTTGGAATGATGATTGTAAAATTATTGGGGATGTTATACATATTAGTAACCTTTACCTTGCTTTATATATCTTTGTTATGATAGTGATTGATGTTAGAAAATTATAATCTTCAAGTAGTGACTAATTCGGTCTAACATTTTGTTTCCTGCAGTTCATTCCCAATGGCTTTTTAGCAAGATAAGTAAGGAGATCATAAAGGTCAAATTAAGAATTAGGATGTTGCCTTTATACACTTTCTTGGTGTAGAAATATCTTAATTATGAAAGATATTATTTAAGCTTTAGTTTTATCATCTTAATGAGCATAATCTTGGGCATCATCTTCCAATTTTTCCAATTAAAACAATATTGGTCAAATGTCTGGTTCATATATATTTAGCAGATGCTTGGATGAGTTCGAAGAAGTAAAAGAAGGAAGACAACTACATTTTTTCTTCTTCTCTCATTTAGGACTTTCGAGCATGCTAACCGTGATTAGGTAGTCGCAAAAGATATTTCATATGTAAGGGCTTTGTTTTCTTATTGTCTTTTTTTTATATATATATAGTAAATGGTGAAAATGATGATGGCTTAGGGCGGATGATGAAACAATGGTCTGAAATTTTTTTTCAGCAAAACATTTCGATTAAAACCGAAATATTTTGAAACCGAACCGAAATAATTTAGTTATAAACCGAATTTATCGAATTTATTTCAATTTGATTTTGATTTTTATTTTTCTTGATTCGATTAATCGAAAACCGAATCGAATCGTTTAACCGTTTACTCACCATATCCATGACTCAATAGAGTCCGGACGACTAGCACTAACAAGCAGTTCACGTAAAATTCTTTTTCGTACTTGTCAAAAAAAAAAAACAAGCATTTGATAAAATGGTGATTATGTGAAAGGACGGTCACATCATTACCAAATTGCACATGCATCCATAATCTAACACATTTTTCTAAAAGGTACTAAACTGACAAGTTATAAGTCGGTATAAGCAAGTAAAAACCAATCCATCCTGTACAAGTTGATGATTTTTATTATTATAAAAAAGTTAATGCTAGGGTCTACCTCCTAGATTCTAACTCTAATATAATATCACATATAACAAGTTGTATTAACCACATGATACGTTTAAATAAAAAAACCACACATTAATTAATAATTATCCGAGAATCACGAATTTATCAGTCACAATATCAGTTGCTTCTCGCAGAATGTTGGTTCTTATGTCATTAAAGTCAAATCCAGGTACAATGTAGGGTGAAATTTCGCCGCTTGACATTCCTTTTTCTTCTTAGCTTTTATGATTGTCATGTTGGATTCAATTGTTAGTTACTAGAAAAAGATGTAATCATGCTTTGATTGAATAATAGCTGCTCTTGAAAAGCTAAAGGAAAAGTCAACAACAATTGCTTGGTTAAATGTATACATGCCATGAACCGAACTCCTTGACAATTTGCGTTTTAACTGCCCTTTAGAAAATTTTGGGTTGAGACCCTTGAAATATTTATTGATGAGCAAGGTTCATAGCTTCAATAATTCATATAACGCATATTCATTCCCTTTGTTACTACCTGACAAGCTAGTACATTGTGGAATTTAACAATTAACACTTGTTAGAATCACATTCAAAGAAATTAATATTGATGGTGATCAAGATCTAAGGAGAAGTAGGCAGGATGCAAACCGTGGAATTTATAATTTATTGTGATGAAATGAATTTATTTCATGCTGCTGACATAGATATGAAAACTGTATATATACAAGAATGAAACGAAATTATGATTATTTTAGTGGTAATCATATTAATTGTCATATGTAGTCAATGTTTTTTTTTCTTTTTTGCGTGGAATCTTGAAGTATATATATAACTTATGACGACTTTGATAACATCATTATTCTTGCATTTTGTTGTAAAATGTAAACAAATTATTTCAATTTAAAAAATATAAAACGTTGAAAGGGACTCTAAAACGGTTTTATATTAACTTTCTAATAAAAAGAAAACAAATATTGTCACCACCTTCTTTGTGAGAACATTTTACTACCATTTTTTTTTTTTTTCACTTATTTACAAGAACGAGAACATGCTACCACCATTTCTGTCAGCTCTGAGCTAGATGGTACACAACGAACGGAAAGGGGAATGAAGTTGGTATCCCCACATCATGTTTCAGTCGGGACATTTGTTCTCCGCGAAAAGAATTTGAGACCTTCGTTAAAATAATAGAGTTATAAAACATCCGGCCGCTCTGTCACAATTAATAATCACTCACGTGAACGCAATAATAACACATGCCCAAAGGAGTTACTATCTGGTGATTAATGACAGATGTTTGTTGTTTTGGGCAAAGGAGATTGTAGCTTCCTTTTCCCGGGATTTGCCTTGTAAAAAAGAGTGCCTTTAGTCAAACAAGGCAGTAAAAGGTTGACACCATAACTCAAGACGGGCCCTCTATTTTCAACAAAGGCTGCCATCCACGTTCCCTTTAGGACAAAAATGGGACAACCCCAACTAACCTCAAAAAGGTGTCACTAACCCTTACAATTGGGCCGGTGCTGCGTTGGAGTGGTGGCCGCCCATACTATTTGGTCCTCTCATTTTTTCTTTTGTGGTCAAAATTTGGGTCGGTAGCTTTGCCCGATTTTTTGTTAGGACAATTTAGCATTCATGACCATGAAGAACAAATTTCGTCTAGAAATGTAGATAAAACGATATCAAGTGGTGTTGGGTTAATTGATTAGCTAAGCCTTTCTTAGTTTGGCTGGACTCCACAGTTCATTTGAAGCCATCTACGAAAGTTTGCGCACTAGCTTAATTTAGCGAGTTCAACAATCAAGCATGTGTTATTAAAGAGTTAAGAGTGCATGTTTTTGGCGTAGCGGATGAAAAAATAATTTTGAATACAAAACTTAGTTTTTACAAATAATATATGTTACAGAACCTATTCTATCTATTATATAAGACTAATTTTTTATTATTATTATTAGAATCAAATTTCAACTATCAAATTTAATAATTTATAATAAAAATGATTTGAAAGTATCTATTAAACAAACAACAACTTCAAATCATAGTTTTTTTTTCTTCTGAAAAAATAGAGATTACAAGCATGAATCAACTATAAATTAAAAATTGAAAATGTTAATTTTCAATTAAAGCAAATTTTCTTCACAAATTTAAAAACTAAAATTTTGATATATATATATATATATATATATATATGATTAAAATAAGAGTAAATCCCTCAAGGAACTACATCAAGCACATTTTTTGGGATAGACACTAGACATATATTATTTAATACCATAAAATTAAACAATCTAAAAAGACTCCACGAAGACGTAATTCTTAAATTATTGAACAAAGCATGGTTAACCAACCAATCAACACATCAATTTTCCTCGTTATGAACGTGTCGTAGCACCAACCAAGATGGGATCTTAAAAAAGAAAAAAAAACCTATAAATCTGAAAACCAAATCAAATCACATGAACCATCCTTGAAAAGTAGGTTAATTGAACCTGTTTATTTAAATATTTTTACAAATTTCTTTGGTTTGTTGCATAGTGTAATTTTTTTTATTGAATTTATGCTATTAAGAGCTGGTTTTATTTAGTTTCTAATTTTGATTTAATTTTCCATTTATCATTTTACTACAAATACAAAAAGAAAAAAAGAGGATATGAGAAAAAAGAAAAAAATAGAGTTAATTAATTTTGGATTAATTATAAAACGATTTAATTGAAATTAATCTGAAAGTATTGTGGATTAACCTAGGAATGGAAAAAGTTTTAGGAGAAAATAATTAAAAAACGAGGAACCTAATTGGTGAAGATTAAAAAATAATGACCAAAATAGCGTAAATCAAAGAACATAATTGTGAAAAAAACAAAACTTGTCGAAATTAGTTTCGAAAAAAAGTGTAACATAAGGGACCTATTTAAACTCAAAGAACCAAACTACATGTCATTCTGTCTAGCCCGCCAAATTCTTCTCCCCTTCTTAGTTACTGTTCATTGTCTTCTTCATTAAAAGACAATGACTTACGAGATAAATTTCTCCTAGCTGGCATTCGTACTAGCTAGAAATCTCGCCTTATTTGGTCTGCACCTACTCCTTAATATGTCCTTTCCTTTCTAGCACTTGCAAAATACGATCGTCTTGTTAGGAAACATATCAAATAAAAAAATAAAGTAGAAAGACAAAAACAATCATACAACATAAGGATTTTATGCAGTTCTGCAATTGTACCTACTTCCACGGCTGTATTAGGAGTTTGTACCAGCTAGAAATCTCACCTTATTCGCTCTGTACCTACTCCTTAATATGTCCTTTCCTTTCTAGCACATGCAAAATACGATTGTCTTGTTAGGAAATGAATCAAAAATAAAATAAATAGAAAGACAAGAACAATCATACAACATAAAGATTTTATGTGGTTCGACAATCGTACCTACTTCATGGTTGCATTAGGAGCTCTTATTAGATTTTATCAAATAACGACTATAAATACAAGTGAACAAATACAAGTGATGTTGTTTCTATTTATAGCATGAAAAACTAGGGTTATAATAATAAAAAAAAAGACATAACGGACATATACACCTAGCCTAATATTTTGTAGACCTCTCGTGGGCTCCAACCTCGAGTCCTCACAAAAGGCACAACCATCTTGACCATCGCTCACTAACCAGCCTAATGAGACCATCATGTGTGTAGCACCATATACCGTGAACCTTCATCCGCATTAGTTTTCACAACTTAATATGCCTTTCCCCATTTCCAACTGCTAAGAACAACTCGCCCATAAAAACAAAGTGAGGCAGATAGGACCTTCACTAGCTAAGAGATGAAAATTGAGCAACTTGAACTATTAGGAATAAAGGGCAAGGATAATTTAAAAGAGATCGAAAGGTTGGGAGAAAGGGAAGAGAGCAATATAAAAGAGGAGAAGAGAGGCAGAGAAAGAAAAAAAGGAAGAGAAAGAAGGTTTTTCTTTTAGAGAAAAGAGAAAAGATTTTGAAAAAAAAAAGAAGAAAGAGAAATTTACGGGTTCGTAGAGTAAGTTTGAGAAGAGAAAAAGGAGAGGAGTGATGAAATCCTTACCAAAACCAACTAAAGGAGATATACACATTTAATCATCACTACCACTTTCCACCTTCATCGCATTTACAAAGCTTTAACAAGGTTCATTTATGATCTTTCTCTCTTTCATTTGTAGTAACATATGCATGTTTGGATGTAAAATGCATAAGTGGTTTTAGTTTCATTTAAGTTATCAAAATCAACTCTAAAATAAGATGGATAATCATGTCTTGTTTTGGGTTGTGTGTTAACCTCTCTTAACGATCTATCATCTTTCAAACTTAGGACTTTTAAGCATGAGAGTGTGTTAGATTTCTAAAGGGACATCCGATATAGTTTTTTAGGTTTTTCTCTGGTTCGGTTACGAAGAGGAAGCAATCATGAAAACGAGGGCAAGTAAAGCAAGTAGCATGAAAACAAAAAATGCCTAAGTATTTAGGTTATTGCTAGGTAGCAAGGGTACTTCACAGCTTCATTTTCTCTCCGGTCTTGTGGACTTAGGGCTTGTTTTCAATGAGTGACTCTAGAGGGATATCCCCTCTATGGTTTAGGTTTTGTATGGCTATCAATTTGAGCTTGAAAAATTAGAAGGAAAGATTGAAAATGAGGACTATCGAAATAAAAAGATTTTAACAGTGTCCGAGGTGAATGATGAGTAGTCTTTAGGAAAGCTTTTCTCTTATTTTTTATGTAGAGGAGGGTGTTTTTTTATATAGAGTTGTTGAGAGATAAAAATTCAATAATAGACCATTCGATCGAGTAACGTTACTTAATAATAGACTATTCATTCGTACAATATCCTCTAATGATAGACCATCATTAAAATAAAGTTCCATAACAATACATTATTTAGTGAGGTCGGATCATATAACGATAAACCATCGGTGATAGGTCATCGAGAGAATAATAGATCTTTTTTCAAGTAAAGTCATCTAACAATAGGCCATTATTCAAGAAAGGTCACTAAAAATAGATCATTTAGTTAGGTAGGTCGAGATCTCTTAATCATAAACCATTATTGACAAGTCACCGAGAGAATAATAGATTATTTTTCAAGTAAGGTCATTTAACAATAGGCTATTATTCAAGAAAGGTTGCTAAAAATAGATCATTTAGTTAGATACGTCAGGATCGCCTAATGATAGACCATCATTTACAAGTCACCAAGAGAATAATAGATCATCTTTCAAGTAAGGTTACCTAACAATAGACCATTATTCAATAAAGGTTACTAAAAATAGATCATTTAGTTAGGTAGGTCAAATAACAACGTGACTATTTAATAGGCGAGTCATTTAAAGAACGGATCATCAATAGATAGGTCGATGAAAGAACAAACCAAGAGTAGGCAAGTCACCTAAAAAAAAGACCATCAAAAGGCAAGTCGTCTAAAGAATAGACTATTGATAGGTAAGCCTCCCAAGATAATAGACCTTTGTAAAGAAGCTTGTAAAGAAAATTTTGCTTTCAAAATTTTCTTTACAAGCTTACTAAGCAAAACTAATGAAAATTCATTTTCATTAACTCTACACTTTACACATTGTAAAGATGAGGCATCCGCTATAACCTATTTTTAACTCCCTACCAATATTTGTTTATATAAATTTTAAATTTTTTTTAAAAAAAACTTGCATGTTACATGTTTTCATGTTTATCTTTTCCATAAGCTTTTTGGGTTATTTTTACATATTTTGTTGATCATCGTATAGTATAGAATTTTCATGAATTTTAAGATTTCTTTTAAGAGTGGCTTTATTTATTTTTTAATTCGGCTAATATTTTTTTCACTTAGGATTCTTGCTATTTTGTTAAAAAAAAATAAGAAAAATAAGAAAGGAAAGGAAAGGAAAGAAAAATTAATTAATTTGGACAAAATTGACTAGGTTATTTTAGCTTGGATTAGTTGATAATTGTTGCTTGTAATTTTATCCTTAATTTTGATGGAATAAAGTGAAAATTGAACAAAATGTTGGATCTAGGGGTCGTTTCAAATTCTTTTTATTGGGCAAAGTTGTCATTAATGTTTTGGCTTGAATTTTTTTTCATATGTTGTACATATTCTTGATCTTGTATTGCTAATAAAATTTTAGAATTTTAGGAGTTTGTTTCGTATTTCTTTGCAATTTTTTTATTTATGAGTGGGCGTTATGAATTAACTATAAGACTTAATTTTTTCTCTTTTGAAGTGGGATCATGGAGTCTCTTTGGCTCTAAGAATCTATGATCATCTCATGTAAAGCTTAATTTGCAATTACAAAAAAAAAAAAAAAGTGTGCTTTCCTTCTTAGCTTAATTTAGTGTGATTAAGTCGAATCAACAAGTCTCCTATTTATTATAGACCGACAATAGTCTTACCTAATTAAAAAAAAAAATAGAGCATCAATTTTTACATTAATTAGGAGAGTTGTATCAAGCCAATAATTCTCTTATTTATTAGAGACCGATGTTGGTCTTGATATTTCATTTGAGAGAAATATCTCATTTGAGAGAAATATCCAAATAACAAAATAAATAAGCAAGTGTACATAGGCCAATTTTCTTTTGCATCTTGAGTTAAAATACATTTAACTTACTAAGTCATTTCTTGCATGCCGATTGTATTAGAACTTAAATGGATCCGATGCTAAATTGATGAGATTTCTAATTTGGAGTCCAATATCAATTTAATACGATTCCACCATAAAAAAAAAAAATCTTTTTTCAATTTGGACAAAAACATACCCATACCCAACCAGACTCATCATAAAGTCATATTTAGTTGTGCTATAACTAGTTGGCCAAGTCGTGCATCGCCCAAGCTATCATTTTATTTTATTTTTTAAAGGTTGGTTGCCTTTTCCCACCTTATACTTATCTGAATAAACTATTTTGGAACAACTAAATGTTAGCTTGTACAACCTTAAAGAATTCCATCACATGATATGTATTATTATTGTCAATTGAGTGCTCAAGACAAGTTCCCCTCAACTCTCAATTGATGATGAAAACTTGAGGAAAAGACAAAGAACACTAGAAAAACTATTGTCTCTCAATATAAATTTATCCATATTAAAATAAATGTCTAAGTATTTATTCAAAACAATAGCGTTCAAGATTCCAACATCTTTAAGACTAACCATATATGTGCTGTTTTTTTTTAAATCCTATCTAATGAGGTCATTATTACCAAGTATGAATTTCCTACCGATGTATCTCTTATTTGCAGCTTGTCTTCTTGTCAAATCTTAACCATTCTAAAAGTAGAAGGGAAGTCGAGTATAGTTATACAATTTTTTTGCAAAACACTAGAAGGTGGCAGGATGCCTATTGTGGTGCTTCGAAGGCTACATATCCGTCAAAAAAGTTCTTCGCGTATTCTTAGCTAATTTTTTGAGCAAATTCGATTACCACTCAAAAAAATGATGACCACAAAAAATTAATAAACTTGGCCTTTTTTTTTAGCAAATCCATTGACAAAAAAAATGGTATGGCTAAATAAATGTGACGGAAAAGGACCAAACTAGATTGGCAAGGCCAAATTAGCATGGCTAGTAGGGATAAAAATGCAATGACAAAACAAATTGGCATGGTTTAGTAGGGACCAAAATAAAGTGGTAAAACCAATTTGATATGGCTAGACATAGACTAAATTGGATCGATAAGGCCAAATTAGCATGTCCGGATAGGGATCAAAATAGAATGGTAAGACTAAAGTGGTTTGGCTTGGCATTTGACCAAACCAAAATGGAAAGTCCAAGTTAGCATGGTCGGCAAGGACTAAAATGAAGTGGTAAAGCCAAATTAACATAGATTGGCTAGGCCAAAATAAAATGGTAAGTGGCAAATTGATACGAGTTAGGCAAGTACACAAAAAGAAAAAAAAATGATTTAGGTCTATTGATGGTTAGCAAGACTAGCAATTGCTTATATGTGTAAAAAAAAAAAAAAAGATAAGAAAAAGAAAAAAAAATGAAATTTACATTGTATTTGATAACATGTTAATGAAGATAAAGCAATGATATTTTTTAAGTATTTTGAGGTATGAACCTTTTTATTGTTCATTCTCTTTTTAAAGCTAGAAACTTATGAAACACAAACATTTTTTTAAAAAAGATTTTTTCTTTTATATGACTATTTAGTGGAAAGAAAAATTTTTATAATACAATTAATGAATTCTTTTAGGTCTAAAAACCCATAGAGAACTCGTATGGATGGACAAATACGCATTACTCAAATAATATTTCATAACTTTTGATTTGGGTATCCATTATTATGCAAGTCTTACCAATTCAAAAACTCGATTCAAAAGTCCATAGCTTGGTGATCATTAAGAACATGGTAGGGGTCTTTTTTTAGGTTAAAATCCATCGTGAAAATATACTTTCAAGTCCTTTTATGGTTCGGATATATTAAGCAAATCTAGATTGCTTCATTTTCTTTTCTAAATAAAGAGACTTATGAAAAGCCTACAAAAAATCAAGTATGCGTTAAAAGGCTCATAATAAGCCTATCGTATGTTTTATTTATTTTTATGTGTTAAAAGACTCATACCAAGTCTACTACAGATCACTTATGTACATATAACAATATCATCATATTGGTGGTATACAAAGTGCATACAAATTCATCTATTTTAAAAGATGTTTATGCCGGGTTAGTTTTTGTAACTTTAGTTTTTCGTTTCCTCATCTCTCTATACTCTTCTTGGCAAGACTATTCGTGTATAGGGCTAAATGTATATGCTTAATTTTTCTATAAAAATTAATTAAGAATTTAATTAATATAATAAACTAATCCATGTTATTTTTCATAGTTTTTATATACGTCTAAGTTAAACAACAAATAGATTGGATCGAGGATGAGTCTTTCTTAGCATAAGTATTTGGGTTGCGTAACAATGGACATAGGTAGTTTAACAAGACTATTGTCTATACCTTGTCTTTGAGATGCATTAGGAAAACCGACTTGGTGGACTTAGACTAGAGTCTATTAAAATAAGACCAAATTGTTACTTCTTTTAATCTTTTCTAGCAAGTTAAAGCAATTTAGCCAAAAAAAAAACATAATTTTCTTCGAGTTAGATATGATTGTCCAAACATGAAGTGGTATGATTGTAGCGAGTTAAGAGTCATCTTCATTTAATTATAAATACCATCCTCACATCTTTGTGAGGAATTGAAACTTTTTTTATCTTTAGCAAAAACTTTTGAATTATTTCTCTCAAAACTCGCACACTCATACACCAAACCTCTCTTAAAATTCATCTATTTAGATTTTTACCACTCACTTCTCTATCATTCGGGCCTTGCTAGCATTGCTTAATTCTCTTCTTACGCCTCTTGCTACTTGCATTGATTCCATTTGATTGGTTGACTCTTTGTAGTTTAATCGATCTATCGACCGGTCGTTTAATATATATATATATTAACAATGATTTTGTGATAGTTCAAAAACCATTTGTAAAATGTCGGTTGCTAAAATTTTACGACGGAATTAGTGACGGCCTAAACTATCGTAAAACTAAAAAAACCATCACAGAAAATGATTGTAGAAGGGAGGAAATATTATGACGGTATAAAGAAACCCTCACTACAATTATCGCAATTTAGCGATGGTTTTAGTGACGGTCCTAAACCCTCGATAAAACCTTAACGACAATTTTAGCCGTTTAGGACATGTG